TGTCATTACTAACCACTGTATTTATATGTAGGGACCGAAGTCTTCGGTAGTGAAGTTAGCATCGTTAATAGACCAAGCAATTATATCGCTTATATTGGTGATCTAGAAAAATCCTACTAAGAAAATCACGTGGCAAATAAGAAATGATCCCGCGAAGAGATACCTGCCGTAGGTAGCCGAGGATCACGCTGCAAGGAAACCTGAGCACTAGTTTCATGTTCTATTGTGGTCTGATAACTAGAGCGTTGTGTTCTCATATGATAAGCCTCGTTGTCTGCGCAGGGAAACTGATTTATCTTCGCGTTGTTCGCTTCCGTTCGGCTCGTGCGATCGTGTGAAACTCTACGACAGTTTTATCCCGTCTTCGATTATTTGTTATAAAACTTCGTTGATTAGTGATGTAATTAAAATACCGTGGACACGGGAACTATACTTTAATAATAAATTACAACAACGGCGTAAAAAGGACGTAAGTGAAAAGCAATGAATGGCTACAAATTCTAACAAGACGTAGTAACACAATGAAGGAACTCCCGGCATAAAATAAGATAGCGTAAATAAAAACAATATTATAAGACTCTTAGATAATAGGTATATCGTGAATATAGACAAGCACCTGCACTATATTTTAGCTGATCAATAGATTCAGATCCCAGGTTCATTGGCATAGCAAGTAATAGTGGAAAATGTTCATTATCTACTTTCCTACTTAATTGTGTGTTAATTGAACAGCAAATAACTGTCAATTACTCTTCTTAATACTTAAACACAGCAAAAAAAAAATGTAAATGCTGCTGCTGACATGCGACGTTGTAAACCTGTCACATTTGGGCCTGCGTGATCAGTGAATGAGCGGGACGATGCATCGAGTTACAGAAATCCTATACTAACTGTATGATGTATCGATATCCTCTCGGGTTGGTGACTTGTAAGCGTTCACCGGATTCTATAATTGAGAATCATTTTTGACGCTACATAGAGAACCACACCAAAACGTGGTTCGATTTTGTGTGTGTTCGAACATTATATGGAAAGACCGTTTATAAGTGGAAGTGTAGAACCGCATTTCAGTTTTGATTTGTATTCTTCCGAATGTCAATAATCATAATAGGTCGACAGCCGATTCTACTTTGTATGTACTATTGATGTATGACTTTTAATCCTCCTCTGTTACTAGTATATATTTTTAAGCTTAGAGTCTGATAAATTGTATGCCATGATATTTGTAAAAATACATGGCGGTACTTAATAGTTGACTTTTAAATAAAACACTTTAACGGTTTAAAACGCAATACATTAGTTAAACTTATTTGAAAATGATTTTAACTGCGGCCCGACATTTCGGATGCCACGTGACCACGGCTGTTTAAACCAGTAAAGTGTTACTATAGACAGTATTTAATAGTTGACTTACAAAATTGTAACGTGTAAAGCTCTCTTTATCGTTCAAGTCTATAAGAGCTAAGCGATGGAATATATGACAATCTACATAAGAACATAGATTATGGCGCGATCCAAGGACGCTAGAGCCGCGATACCGATTTACATGGCGGGGGCGGAAGTCAAGTGCCGGTTGGCCAAACGTGGCCAGTTGCTGTCGTGCCAAGGCTGATCATTGATTTAACTCCATCCGAGGTTATCCGTGGAACAACTCGCTCTATACTCGCTAATTGGAGGAGGACAGACAATGCAGATGCATTAAGTTTACTTGATGTGACTACGATCAAGATGTTTTGTCGACCTATTTTGGCTTTGGACATTCGGAAATCCAGAAAACGCCACTAAACTTCACGGCTTCTTTCATCTGTGGACGGTGGTTCGGGACCCGGGCGGAACGTCGATATTCCTACCACGCATTTAATATCCACATTTCCAGACGAAGTCCGACATGTTTCAGAAAAAATACAAGTTGATGAGAAACATGTCGGACCCTATGGGGATCGAATCCACGACCTATTGATTACTAGTCATACATTGCTACCATAACACGAATCAAACCTAACCTATCTTTAATTCAACTGTGATTGACGTAACGTATTCCTATGTTTAAGCAAAATATATTAGTAGTTAGGATTCGAGAGTTCTGGCTCACTCGTCGGGACTCGTCGCTGGGGGACCCCCCCCCCTGGCTGGCTGGTGTCTCAAATCGCGATCGCCGTGGAATCGCTGGGGGACCCCCCCCCTGGCTGGCTGGGGTTTCAAATCGCGATCGCAGTGGATTCGCCGGGGGACCCCCCCCTCAGAAATGTAGCACGACGCCACCTAGCGTCTATTCGGGAAGTATTGATATCAGCGCCATCTATTGACAGTTTTCGAAAAACTATCGACCTTACCGAGCCGTGGGTCAGACTCACTGACATTTCAGGATAATCTAAATAAAATAATTACAGATTGCGTACACATTTATTACTTCATAATATTTTCAAAAACATCGACTTTTACTTGTATATCATTCCATTCCCGATTTCCCGATTATGTTCATCTAATTTGCTGGCCATCCACGTATAAACAAAATGAACTGACTCTTTCCCTGAACTCCTGCTGGTATTGTTAGAACTTTTACTTCTGCTCGGGTTATGGGGTATTTAGCCGTTGTAGTTGACAAGACTTTTTGGTGTGCAAGTGAAACCGTTGGATTTATTCGAGCTCTACGAATAATAAGTGAAGCGTCTGTGTTACATATTTTCAATTTTAGGTCATTAGAAGCATGATGGCTTTAAATGAGATGATGTAGAGAAACGTTTATCTCTACATCTGACTAATTTTATTGACATTTCAACTCCATTTATTAAACTTTTCTTGATTAAACAAGTCGCCGTGTAAATGTCCAATCATTTCCACTTCTTTGCTCTCTGATACAAAGGCCTGTCTCTTAACAAAATCTATGCTTATTCAGAAGTTTAAAAGGAAATAAATAAAACTCTTTGTTAGATCTCTATATATTTATTTATCGTTAACAAATTCATGTCTAAACAATTTAAAAACAATCATTACTTATCTATATTTACAATTCCTTACAACTACTAAATTACAAATACAACTATTTCGCTTCATTACTATTTACAAGGTACACAACAATAATCACTCTTTATTATTATACAATAAAATAAAGAGTACAATACAATTTAATTGTTTATTTTATTCCGTAATGGCCCCATGCTAACGTATCCATCTTGTTAGGTAAAATAAATCTTTTTGTGTCATCATAAGACAAACAAATTTTATTTAGTTTTTGAGTAAAGATGGTATGTTTGATTGATCTAAACCTATGCATAGTGCTATATAGTATTGTATGGTTAAAAAGACATGATTTGTAATTTTCGATGGTCAATTTTTTTGTTACACTTTTATTTACGCCTTTTGCTTTGGTTGTTATTGAGGTATCTGTTTGAATTGCATACATTTTTGATCGCAAACCTACAAATTCTTTCACAATTAATCCTTTGAATTCATCTTTAAAAAATCCTAATTTTTTCTTATTTAATTTGGGAAAATTATAAACGTTATCATCGGGATAATCAGAGGTATCAAAATATGAACTCAGGTCAGGTTTAATATCTTCATAAAAGTCTTGTGTAAAAATTTGGTATATAAAGCTATCCGTATCTGTATACAAAAGCTTACAATTATTTTGAAATGTTTGTAACATATAATTATAATGAAAATCATACATCAGGGTTTTTGATATATCTAAAATACAAAAACCTAAATAAATTGGTTTGTCGTAATTTACTTTAGTTTTATTAAGCTGAACTGCTACTAAATTTTCAGAAAAAATTGATAAACTGTTAAATTCAGGTTTTGATATTAACTGTTGTACACCCAAACTTTTACCTCGATTTTCCCAATGTGTTAACAGTTTTACATTTACTCTTTTGTCTACATTTTCCATAGTTTTTCCAAACACAGAATTATTCATCAATTTATAAAAATCTTTTTCAAATTCCGAAACCGCAACGCTTCTTAAATTAGTGTTTAAATCAATGTATTTTTTCAACCAGGGACTTTGACGAAACTTTAATATCCTATGAATTTTGATTAGTTTAATACCCATTTTTAAACATTGTTTTAAATTTCTGTAATGAATAATGTACTTAGTTTTATTTTTTAAATTAGGAATAAGTTTTTTTTCTTTCGAGTTACCGATATTTACATTTTCGGGGCACATTGGGTTTTGGTAATTGTCCCAAAAAGAAAAGCAAATAAATAAGTAATTACACTTACTTGTCATTAATGTTATTTGTTTGATAAACTAACGAGGCATCCTTTATTCTTTGGGATATATAAGAAGGCAGGAGCTCTTTAGAAAATAGTTTAAATATTTCGTGTGTGAATAAGGTTTTTGTTTTAAATAATTTTGGAGAAGAGGAAATGGAGGTAAGTTTCACTCGTATTCCTTAAAAATTTAATAAAGTTCTTTAATTGTTTTGCTAATATTTGAAACTAATTTTAAAGTTTTTTCCAGCCTAATAATCTCGAAGAAAACACTTTCAAGCAATATTATTACCCCATGGTACTATCTGATGAAGAAACTAGTAACGAATTAGTAATCGACAGGAAAGCCGTGAAAAGAAAATCTACCCAAGATGAAAATTTTGATGAAATTTTCAATTTTTCGAGCCCAAGTAAGAAAAAGCCAACAGAGTGTTCATCGGTTTCTCGGGCTCAACCTAATGGATGTGTTGCATTTATAACAACGAATCAAAATGATATATTAACAGCCACTTACTTACTTAAAATCGAATTGTATGACTTGAAAGCAATATCAAAGATACCTAAAAATCAGCAATGGAAACATGCTAAAATAAGGACTAAATATTATGCCAAAGATACAAGCTCTCATTTAAATAAGGTAAAACAAGTTATATATAACATAAGTAAGGAAATATCATCGTTGGATTCTTGTAAAAAAACAGTTTTCAACAACAACTGCTAAATTGAAGGATACAACTATTAGCACATAATCTATTACACGCGACATAGCTCCGTATACAATAAAAATGGCAATTAACCAGCATTCAGGGTTTGTTTTCTCTGAGGAAGTTGATATTTCTGAATTAGAAGACGTTTTTGAAGACTTGGCTTTGTTACAAGTTTCTGAAACCTTTGAACAAGATCAGAAATTTGATCCCCAATATGACGAAGAGTTGTCTCGCATTTGTGATCAAGTAGGAAGTGGTGTATTAAAAAGAATAAACAGTGGTGAAATCAACAACGTGAGTGCAAAGCGAGTACGGCTTGAAGAACCAACGACATCCCGTGGTAGCGCAGCAGCAGAGCAATCATCAACTTTGCATGGAAACTTAGAGAAGGTACTATGTAATATATGTAATATTGTAGTTACTAAGCGATATTATAGTAATCACCTTAAAAGCAAAAATCATAGAAACAATTGTTTAATGACTCATGGCTCTTTTGAAAATGTATCCATTATACAAACAGCATTTAAAAATAGAATTGTGTCATATAAAATCCAAGCAAAACGTGAGTTAGATTTACAATTTCAAACGCCGGAAATATTTTTAGAAAAAATTCAAAAAGAGATAATTCATTTACTCAATAGTGCAATAGATCAATATACGTCAGTAAAGATCAATTTCGTTTTATACGCAGATTTTGAACAACAATCTAAAAATTTAAAAAATTCGTTTGACTTTCAGACAGAAAATTTTATTTTAACTAAATCGGACAAATTAAATTATCTAATACCAACTTTATGTAATGTGTTCGGGAATAAATTAAGCGCATTTGAGAAAAAAGATAGCGGTTGGAGTTTGGTCAAAATAAATCACATAGAGTTAAACATAAATAAATATACTCCGTTACGCGGTAGTTCTTATATTGATTTGCCCAAAGACATTAAGGATAAAAAAGCTGTTATTAATGTTAAAAATTATGATAACTTATGTTTTAAATGGGCATTACTTTCGGCTTTGTATCCAGTTAGTAAAAATTCGGAAAGACCCTCTTCCTATAATAAACATGAAAGTAAACTTAAATTTAATAATGTCCCATTCCCAGTTCAGTTAAAAGAGATAAGTAAAGTAGAAAAATTGAATAATATAAGTATTAACGTTTTTGGTTTAGAGTTTGATGTCAGCTGTAAGAAACATTCCGTTATTGGCCCACTTTATTTTACCAAACAAAGACAAAATGTTCACATAAATTTGCTATACATACAAAATTCTTCAAATGGTCACTATTGTTACATTAAGAACCTATCGCGTCTCGTAAGTAATCAACTAACTAATAGAAATGGAGCCGTGTACATATGTGATGGTTGTTTGATATCCTTCACAACTCATGAAAGATTAAAAAATCACCAACAAAATGACTGCTTCCACGTAACAACTTATTTACCAAGCAGTACAAAAACTCTGAAGAATTGTTTTCAACAACCAGTAGCTAGTAATATACTCCAGTTTGATAAGTTTCATAAAAAACTAAAAATTCCCTTTGTCGTATACGCTGATTTTGAAGCTTTCTTAAAACCGGTAAAAGCATGTGATAACGACCCATCAAAACCATTTACAAATAATGTTCAAATGCACGAACCCTATAGTTTTGGCTATTATATTAAGTGCTCATATGACAATAGTTTATCTAAGTATAAAACATACAGTGGAGAAAATTGCGCTCAACAATTTATAAACTTTTTATATGACGATTTAAAGTTAATTTGCAGAAAAATAAATTTTCAAAAATGTGCAAAACCATTGTCTGACCAATACAATATTATTACTGAAACAAAAATTTGTTACGTTTGTGAATCTATGTTACATGACGATAAAGTTGTTGTCTACGATTGGCAAACCGGTGACTTTATAGGCATTGCTCATAATAATTGCGAAAGAAAGTTCCGTGCACCTTGGTATATTCCAGTATTTATACACAATTTAAGTTGTTATGATGCTCATTTTATTGTACATGGATTGAATTCTTTCGAAGGTGATATAGATTTGATTCCTCAAAATAAAGAAAAGTATATTTCGTTCGCAAAACACTTTACAATAAACAATCATAAAGTAACATTGAGATTTGTAGATTCGTTTAAATTTTTACCGTGTAGTCTTGATCAGTTGACGAAAAATTTAAAAGATGATGAATTTCATGAGCTTGGGCTTCATTTTCCAAATCAAAATGACTTTGATAGACTTCGTCAGAAAGGTGTCTTTCCATACGAATATATGACATCACTTGAATGTTTCGATCTAACTTTCTTACCAAACAAAAAACATTTTCGAAGTTCACTTACGAACAATGATATTTCTGATGCTGATTATAATCGAGCTCTAGATGTGTGGCAACATTTTGGTTGTGAAAATATGTTAGATTATTCAAATTTATATTTGAAAACTGACGTTTTATTATTAACAGATGTATTTGAAAATTTTCGAAGGCTTTGTATAAAAACATATGGTTTAGATCCAGCTCATTACTACACGGCTCCGGGGCTAAGTTGGGATGCTATGCTAAAAAAAACAAATGTAAAATTGGAATTATTAACTGATATTGATCAAATCGCTTTTATTAAAGCAGGCATTAGAGGTGGCATATCTCAATGTAGCAACAGATATGCTAAATCTAATAATAAATATTTAGAAGATTTTGATAAAAATATTCCTTCGTCATATATAATATATTTAGATGCTAATAATCTTTATGGGTGGGCTATGTCACAATATTTACCTGAGGGAGGGTTCAAGTGGGTTAGTTTGGATACAAATTTTAATATTCCTGATACATCAGAGTATGGATACATTTTAGAAGTCGATTTAGAGTATTCTCAAGATCTCCACGACAAACATTCAGATTTCCCAATGTGCCCCGAAAATGTAAATATCGGTAACTCGAAAGAAAAAAAACTTATTCCTAATTTAAAAAATAAAACTAAGTACATTATTCATTACAGAAATTTAAAACAATGTTTAAAAATGGGTATTAAACTAATCAAAATTCATAGGATATTAAAGTTTCGTCAAAGTCCCTGGTTGAAAAAATACATTGATTTAAACACTAATTTAAGAAGCGTTGCGGTTTCGGAATTTGAAAAAGATTTTTATAAATTGATGAATAATTCTGTGTTTGGAAAAACTATGGAAAATGTAGACAAAAGAGTAAATGTAAAACTGTTAACACATTGGGAAAATCGAGGTAAAAGTTTGGGTGTACAACAGTTAATATCAAAACCTGAATTTAACAGTTTATCAATTTTTTCTGAAAATTTAGTAGCAGTTCAGCTTAATAAAACTAAAGTAAATTACGACAAACCAATTTATTTAGGTTTTTGTATTTTAGATATATCAAAAACCCTGATGTATGATTTTCATTATAATTATATGTTACAAACATTTCAAAATAATTGTAAGCTTTTGTATACAGATACGGATAGCTTTATATACCAAATTTTTACACAAGACTTTTATGAAGATATTAAACCTGACCTGAGTTCATATTTTGATACCTCTGATTATCCCGATGATAACGTTTATAATTTTCCCAAATTAAATAAGAAAAAATTAGGATTTTTTAAAGATGAATTCAAAGGATTAATTGTGAAAGAATTTGTAGGTTTGCGATCAAAAATGTATGCAATTCAAACAGATACCTCAATAACAACCAAAGCAAAAGGCGTAAATAAAAGTGTAACAAAAAAATTGACCATCGAAAATTACAAATCATGTCTTTTTAACCATACAATACTATATAGCACTATGCATAGGTTTAGATCAATCAAACATACCATCTTTACTCAAAAACTAAATAAAATTTGTTTGTCTTATGATGACACAAAAAGATTTATTTTACCTAACAAGATGGATACGTTAGCATGGGGCCATTACGGAATAAAATAAACAATTAAATTGTATTGTACTCTTTATTTTATTGTATAATAATAAAGAGTGATTATTGTTGTGTACCTTGTAAATAGTAATGAAGCGAAATAGTTGTATTTGTAATTTAGTAGTTGTAAGGAATTGTAAATATAGATAAGTAATGATTGTTTTTAAATTGTTTAGACATGAATTTGTTAACGATAAATAAATATATAGAGATCTAACAAAGAGTTTTATTTATTTCCTTTTAAACTTCTGAATAAGCATAGATTTTGTTAAGAGACAGGCCTTTGTATCAGAGAGCAAAGAAGTGGAAATGATTGGACATTTACACGGCGACTTGTTTAATCAAGAAAAGTTTAATAAATGGAGTTGAAATGTCAATAAAATTAGTCAGATGTAGAGATAAACGTTTTCTACATCATTATTTAAAGCCTGCTTCTAATGACCTAAAATTGAAAATATGTAACACAGACGCTTCACTTATTATTCGTAGAGCTCGAATAAATCCAACGGTTTCACTTGCACACCAAAAAGTCTTGTCAACTACAACGGCTAAATACCCCATAACCCGAGCAGAAGTAAAAGTTCTAACAATACCAGCAGGAGTTCAGGGAAAGAGTCAGTTCATTTTGTTTATACGTGGATGGCCAGCAAATTAGATGAACATAATCGGGAAATCGGGAATGGAATGATATACAAGTAAAAGTCGATGTTTTTGAAAATATTATGAAGTAATAAATGTGTACGCAATCTGTAATTATTTTATTTAGATTATCCTGAAATGTCAGTGAGTCTGACCCACGGCTCGGTAAGGTCGATAGTTTTTCGAAAACTGTCAATAGATGGCGCTGATATCAATACTTCCCGAATAGACGCTAGGTGGCATCGTGCTACATTTCTGAGGGGGGGTCCCCCGGCGAATCCACTGCGATCGCGATTTGAAACCCCAGCCAGCCAGGGGGGGGGTCCCCCAGCGATTCCACGGCGATCGCGATTTGAGACACCAGCCAGCCAGGGGGGGGTCCCCCAGCGACGAGTCCCGACGAGTGAGCCAGAACTCTCGAATCCTAACTACTTATATTAATATTTGTAATTTACATTTAGGCATTACGGACACCCCAAGCTAATAATTTAAAATGTATACTATAATTCTATATTTCGTATATTAAAAAAAATTATTTATGCACCACCGTGAGGATAAGATAGCTGTGTTGTTTTGAATTAATTTCTCTATATAGTTAAAAGAATTTCATTATAAAATGTCCAGAGTCATTTCCTATGAAATGTGGAGCACGCGATCTACAGCAGACATCTAGGCACATAATTTGGCACGGCCCATCGTCACATCCGCCCTCGACGGTTGCGCAAACGCGGCCTATGGGCATTGTATGCAAAGTGTCTGTCCGCCGAATAACGAAATCGCTAACGGTTTACTAGCTGTTCTTGAAATTATGAATGTTTCAACAGTGGTGCAAGGAATCAGACAGGAAAATGCAGGTACACTAGAGTTTGGAACTCAACAATTGCTTTAAGATACCAATGTAGTTCAATTCGACAAGATCGTTTATCTAATGGTAGCAATGCATGGCTAATAACCAACGGCTCGTGGGTCTATCCCAACCAGGTCCAATATGGTTCTCATCAATTTATAATTTAAATAAAACACTTTAACGGTTTAAAACGCGATATATAAACGTTTCGTTTATATGCTTTGCAGCAGCCGTGGTCACGGGGAGACGTCGGGCCGAAGCTAAAAATCATTTTCAAATAAGTTTAACTAATGTATCGCGTTTTAAACCGTTAAAGTGTTTTATTTAAATGTGTACTACTCGCGTAAACTATAGACAGTATTCAATTTATAGTTTTTCTGAAACATGTCGGACTTTGTCTGGAAATTATGATATCGAAATTCCGTCCGGGTTACGAACCACTGTCCTCCGATGAAAAGCCGTGAATTTTAATCACGCTTCGGTTTCATACTGGATATGCAAATAATATTGCATTTCACCTTCCATCAATTTATCCTCATACTTCTGTCCTCCTTTCTTATTAAAAAAAAAGGGAATCAAATAGTTGAAGTGACATTTATCTAAAACCGGCGTGCTTCAAACAAGCTGGAACCTTTCACAATTTAGTTGTTGTCGTGTTTTATATTCTTAAAATAAAGTAGATAAACAAAAATAAATAATGCTTTCATATATAAGAAGAAATTAATAGTATGAAGATAACTTAAGAGCTCAGTTCTTAAAACCGTGTATTATTTTACCAACTGACAAACAGAAAAAAAAAGAAATCGCATACACGCAAACAAATGATGTTTACAGAGGAGTGCGGCTATCCTTTGAAAGCACGTACGAAGCACCGCTCAGCACATATCAAAGGGACCGGAAGGAATTTTAGCCACGTTCACGTCTTCGTTCTGAAGTCATTGTTGTGTCGCTACTTCGAAATTTCTTAAATAAACATCCAAATTTAAAAAAAAAATTGAAACCTTTTAACGAGAGGTTTTAAATATCATAAACAGTTATTTATATAACACATAAACGTAGTAATCTTAAGAAATATATCACATACAAGTGCGCAATGCGTGTAATTATTATTTTCAAGGCCCAAAAGAAACTCAGGATATATAATAGAAGATAAATGATTGTATCTTCGAAACTTCATAAATTACATATCTAAACGGTAAAGCGCTAAGCTATCGACGAGGATTCAAAAAATATTTCATAACTATCATCTTGATCTGACTCGAACCCGAGGAGACGGTTCGTGTGAAACAAATCCTGACCGGCACCGGACATCCGTCTTTGTCGATATTCCCGTTCTACATCAAAGGCAGCGGAACCCAATTCAAATGAAATTCGACCTTAAATTAATTACAACAAAGACGATATTGGCTCGCGGTGGTATTGAACTCGTAAAACTGCCCTAATACCTCACTTGAGAGATGATTAAATTGTAGTGGACAATACAATAGCGGATGCGGAAATAACTAGTAGTGTTACAAATAGTGAACGAGAGCCGTTGTGAAATTGACACAATAAGCTCCACACATGACTGGATGTAGATGCAATAATTTCTTTTTGATCGTAATTTGAGAGGATTTTGAGAGCACTTTATTAAGTGACGTCCCTTTTAAGTAATTTAACAATAAAAATAACCCAACCTAAATAAAAAAAGGCGTAATAGAATTGTAGTATGACGACTTCTTCGATAATACCGGGAAATGAAAAAATATATTTAACATTAAGTAACCCAAAATTGGTCCCAGCTACAACTTAGTTTGCCCTGATCTTAATGCATAAGCCATATCCTAGAAAGCCGATACAGAAAGCTAAAGTTTAATCTCATCTAATTCTAACGGATGTGAAGCCGTGGGAACAAGTAATAGATATAAAGATACGTAAACCGCTGGACTTTAACATAACATTTACGTTCAGGACACGACTTCATGACTATGTTACATCATAGAATAAACAATGCAGAAAACAAAATGCCCAAGAAACTAAGAATACATCGAGGACAAAGTCGGAATTCTGATTCTATTTCTTACGTTTGACCTTGCAATGCCGGAAGTCGGTATCACGAAATTACCTGAAACAAATGAAGAATACTTTAAATATACACAAATAGAATCTTGTCACATGCGTCGAAGTGCGGACAATTACTCGCACTGTGGGCGTCGGCCACTGCGCCCACTAATTTCGTCTCAAACTATAATTTATGCAAATCTAAATTTATTTATGGAAGCTCAGTAAAAGATTCGAATGAGGCTTACGTGACGTCAGAGTTGTGTTTGTGATATAAGAAGCGTTGGCCTTGCTCGAGGTCGTACAGAGCGGACGTGTATGGTCGTAAAATAAAAACGAATCGCATGAGACAAGCAGACAGACGTCCATAATATATTGGTCAGACGATTGATGGTTGATAGCCGATCTGACAGCACGCCGCCATCCGGGCAGTCAAGGTGACACAGGCCATCCTTGCAGATCCGGTCTCAAATAGCAGTAGTATATTTTGAAGAATCAATTGTTTGTCAGCTAAATTCATATTAATTCTGCGGTTATCTTTAAAACACTAACGATTAATTGCGATTAAGGCAGACATATTTTCTTCTAGTGCGATCAATTTAAAACACTAAGAGTGTATGTAATTAAAAAGATATAAAAAGCCAACAATATTTCCTGCAGGTTAAAAGGCTATTAATTCTGCAAGTCACTCCTTAGCTGCACTTGATACTGACATGACAGCGCCTCCCACGATGCGAGTCATAAATTAAAGCAAATTGTAAAATACATTAATATTAAAACTAAGGTTCCCTTGCAACAGACTGAATACTTTTACCGCTAGTCACAATCGGAAGCTTTGAGCATTAAATCAAATCGGCCCGGAATGTGTCGCCATCGTTCAATATGGATTCCGAAATAAGCTTCCTTCAAATCTAATCCGGTATTTAACGATTATGTACATACCGGTTGAGCAACGCGTTGTTGACAGGAGAGCGGATTGTCGTCTCTTATGCGGTGGGCTGTTAAATTAAATTAGAGCACACCACCGGCGTGCGCCCGCGCAGTTCGACGACCGTCGCCCACAATTCGTGTTTATTGATCTCGTTGGGATCGATCCTGCGTGATTGATAAGCATCACAGTGGGTGTGACATTGTGTAGTGTGTCCGACACGTCCGTGGAACGCTTCGCTTGTGTAAATTCTGGATACAACAATAACCGCCTACGCTGCTATGTAAGATGCAACAGCGCCATTCGATAAGATGTTTTCGCGAGGCTTATTCTCGTAATTAATTTTCATCGCGACTTGAAAGAGTAGCCGTGGATAAGACTATTGTATTTACGCAACAGATTATAGCAAACGGGAAGTGTACACAGTCAGTTACGCAAACATCATAAATCGTAAATATCTCTCGTTTACCTACTATCACGTTCGTATAGTTTTTGTCGGAGATAATTGGAATCTCGCTGTCACAATAATCACTTCTAGACTTACTACACTGTGAATTAGTTAAATCTGTCTATGTATGTCTATAATATAGCTAGCACTGGGCTTTGCGCATAAAACGGACAACTAAATATTATTATAAAAGCCCAGAGGCCCTATTTAATTGCTATACATGAATCTTCTAGAATATTCCCTAAGTAATTTACTAGCAATGTATATTTTACCAAAGCAAACGGAAGTGAGAACACCGACGCAGACGCCTCCGTACTAACAAGTACTATAGCTATAGAACCTCCATATAAAACTTTAAAGAATGCGTTTTCAAACGTCAGTTTCAACAGCTGAGTCTTACAACAGATGAGTTTTAGAAAGGGTTCTTACCTTACAAGATTTAGTCAGGTCCGGAAACATTTTCAAAGCTTAAATTGTTATTTTATCGTCTTCACGTAATCCAATAAGGAATAACACAGTTGTATGTGGAAGCTCAACAATTTCTACATTAATAGCGCCATAAACAAAACGATCGATAAATCAAAACTGGTTTCGAACCAGGAAGATCTTCGTGATTATAATTAATGTCGACGTCACACGCGCAAAAAGTGAGTGGTTTTGTTGCTTTTGGAATTATTTTAATGACGACCGTAATCTTTGCTATATGAGAACAATCGAAAACGTTTGTCTATACATTTATTAAAAAACAGTTTGTTAAGTATATTTAAAGAATATATAATCACCGCGGATAATACAGCATACATCAATAATACAGAATAAAAAACAAATTATTATCTACCTATGATTTACAAGCAATTGTCGAGGATACAAAATAGGCTATATAGAAGATTAATTCTTCACTTTATAAAAATATTTATATTAAGTAAAATTAAGCTTGTTTTTAAATGTGGAACTCCGAATAAATAACAATTACATGATAATATAGGACATAAGTAATTAATTCCCACAAGATAGTCCGTAAACTTGACATGTGAATATCGAAAGGCTCTAGGCACCGAAAATCTTTTAAGGATTATATACTTCGGGTAGGTTTGATAGTTAGGGTCCCGCATTCATAAATTTTTAATTTTAAGTAGTTCTGGTACGGTAATGTGATAGTAACCCTTAACGTTACGTAACGCTCACTCACATTATTACTATGTAAAATTATGTGTTGTGTAATTTAAAAATAGAACGATCTTCTGTTTCGCAACATGGCGACCAAAGAGGTAACTTAACAAAAGTTTAATTTTAATTTCGAACTACCTAGCACATAAAAGCTTCAGCGAAACATTTGTCATTTCTGTTAGAAGAGCCGTACATCTAATTTTATGATGTCTAGCTTTAAATTGAATGTATATCTGCGCACGCGCCGACGAGACAAATTGCGTTTCGCCGACCGATGAAATCATCTTGTAAGGAAAGCACCATAGCGATTTCGGCTTGCCTGAAAGTGTGTTTATAGCATCCGTCTTCCTGCCATATAGCGTCGAGTATACCGTTACGCCCGCACAACTAAACTTCATCGATTTACATACGCAAATCATGAGTTGCCCGCATTGCACGCCCCAAAATGTGCCAGCACATTTCGATCGATAGACTAAGTGTTCTACTTTTTACTACGTCCGTGATTTCATTTGACGTAAATCTCTAGGACTATATGATATCCCAATGCCGATTTCACTCTATATTTAATAAATTATAACAAGGAATTACCTAATTATTTACTAGCTGATTATTTACTTTAGCGAACAACCTCCATCATACATTATTATAGTTGTTACTCATAAATGATAGACATATACCTACTGACTGTTAAGGACATCATTTCAGATCATAAATTTTTGCAGCACACGCAACGGAAGCCCTCAAGAAAGAATATTTTCCCCCTTTTATTCCACTTGCCTCTATTTCGTTGATGTTTGAAATGTAATTTAGTGTATTGTTTTGCCAGAAACAAGCTATAACATATGGTGGAACAAATGAATACAATTTAGTTGTATTTAATCTTGTTTACAGGCGATTTACTACAACTCACAATACGAATCCACCTGCTCCGCAAAGTCTCTCCTCACAATTCAAGGGCGACCGTTATAGAATTTCTCATTGGCAACGCACTAACAGAGCAATCTAGCGCCGCACGAGACGGTGAGTTTTAAAAAATTTTCACTCGTTAGTGCATCCGGCGAATTGCGATCGCCTCGTCTTTTTGCCCTAAGCCCGATTGCAAAAAGATACTGATCGGACGTACAGCATAGCGCAGCCAGAGAACATCCTGCGACGGCGGGCGGAGGGAGGACGCAGACCATGAATGGTCCTAACGAACTCGCCGACCTTGGGCAGACCAGCGTCTCGCCGTGCCCCATACTGCGACTAGCCGATACACCTTAAGAGAACCACTAGGCCCACAGGGTAAAAATCTATATCGCAACATAGTTTTTTAAACCAAAAATCCCTTCTATCGTCAGTGACACAGTGTTTTAAACCATAAAAGTATTGTACCCTATACACGCATAAAAATCTATGTAAAGACGATACGCAAGTTTCTTTATTGAGATATACAATAAGCCAGCCAAAACATATAAAGATATCCCGATATAAACAGGAATCACAACATTCCTATTTATTTAATTATCTGTGACCCAACCCTACTCAATGTCTATATTTCACCGTAAGCACGAGTAAATAACACGAGAATAAGATCCACAAATAACGGTTCCAAGTGCGCCAATTAGAGAGGATCTAAAATCATTTTCTCAGCGGTTGAAATGATAACAGTCTTAACGATCTATTGCGTAGTAGATATGTCGGCACGGCGAGTTACCACAACAGGAAACATTTGAGCTCTTGCATTATACAAATACATACATACACGTAGTACCATACGCGGTAAACATCTCATTCAGGCTCTGATTGAGTATGAATGAGTGACGTGATCTGCGTACAGAAACTTGACAGGAAGTGAAACGGGTCCAATAGTATCAAGGACGCGAATTAAATTTGATAGTGCAATAATTCTTCAGTAGGAACGAGGCCTTTCTCTTTACGCCTTACTCGTTCATAGATAGAGATCAATTAGTTGTGTTTAATGTGGTGATTACAATTTTACATCATAGTGCTGAGTCACATAAACCAAGATTCTATAGATCATAAGAATCAACGGAAACGAAACGGTATTATTTTAATTTAAACTGAGATTTTTTTTAATAGCTCTAAAAGCATTTTAAGACAGGACACAAGTTTGACTTATATATAGTCAATCATTTAAAGTTTTAAAAAGTTGTGGGATGGTTTCCTAAAAGTATAAAAGATATCCTAAATATGAAACAACAAATTAATTATATAATAAGTTAAGGTATACAAATCTCTGAGACGAGTCAAATGGAATGATCACTAAACAAACAATGAATAGAGCTTATTTGTATCGTATGTGGAAATAGCAGTCCATCATATCCACCCACAGCAAAGGATACGGTTTGTATGGGCAATGGAAGTGGACGCTTTATTATCATGTAAATTGGCAACGCGACCTTGAGTGGGAGATCGACATGCTAACCCACTTCAAAACGTGGATGCGCGTGAGTTTAAAAGATTAGCCCTCTCAATTTAACATACAAATGTGAGCTAGCGAATTTTACCGTACGTGTGAAAACATCCCCAGTGTGGATTATGACATGTTTACTATTTAATATAAAACTTTTAACGGTTTTATACAGAAAATATACAACTTATTTATAACCCAAAGTTTAGTTTATGCTTTGCAGCAGCTATGGTCAAGGGGGAACTATTTTCTTGTTGTGTTTTATCTAACGTGTGTTACTCGCGCAAACAATATTTAATTTGCTTTTACTAACATCATTTGACATCTTGGGCCTGTTGAAAATGTATGCAAAAGTAGAGGTAGTCGTGAATAATGAGAATTATTACACGAAAATATGTCCACGAAATGCATGAGCTCTCTCTTAATTTATATTTCCATCTTGAAACCGGTTTCTCCAATATACGTCTACAATAAGCGACTTCACCAGAGGTCCATAAACATCTTCCGTTCATTTATTTGACGCTCCATTACTCTGAACACCGTGGTCAGTCTGACATTTTATTTTTATTGTCCCTACACATCCGGAGTTGTTTTATTCTTTTTTCATGTACTCAACAACACGTTCTGTAGTATTTATCTTGCCATGAAAGGCGAAGTCCTCGCGAGGCTAAACTCGACTTGATTTGGGGACTTGAAAACCAACAAGTGTGACCTGTTCTCAGGCAGAAGCCGGAACATGCGGACACCGTCACGCTACGGCTAGTGGAGAGAACAAAACGTTTCTCCGATTAAAATAAGAATGATTGTCGCCCACTACAAAAAAACAAAAACTGCAAAACTGTGAAGCACTTCGATGTGGACAGAAAAGAAAACGGGGTCGAATCGTGATCTATGATTGACTACAGCGCGTCCACCGATATTACTATTCAAGCACGAATTCCGTTTATTGCACTTGAATGAAACGCTACAGACATTAACGTTTTGTGTCAGTTAAATTACCATGAGATCCGTGAACCGGGTGTCGACCTAAATTTGTGCTTTCAAAGAGAACTTTGTTTGGTCGGAATTAAATATGGCAGCGTACGATACGCTTCTGCATCCTGAAAGTTAAAGATTCTACCGGAGACTTCCTGAGGACAATGCCTCATTATAGCAGTGTTACCAATAAGTGAAGTGAGGAAGTCGATATCTATTCGCAAAGCACAATAGGTGAGCGACATCCGAACCTCATTACTGAGCTCGTTTCCGTTTGTGATTTACACGCGAGCCGGTTTATTGAGCTGACCACTATCCGTTTAGTAGACCACTTCGTTAGGACATCGGGCGGTGTCGTTAAGATAATTAATATTGCTTAAATTGAAATCGCCTCTTGGTAGAGTTTTTTATTCAGTCAAGCCAATTTACTGTCTTACCAGCTGATAAACGTGTCAAAGTTATAAAATCTTTAAACTCGCAATAAAGAGGACAAAATTGGGACTGAATTAATTCCGTATACATTAAAATCGCATGGCATTTTCATAAAGGAACAAAAGTTTAACGTCCAATATACATATTATTTATTAATTCGATTTCGACAATACTAATACTAATTGCAACCAATTCGATTTGATATTTTCACATTTTCCATCTACAAACAGATTTCTATGGACCACATCTGTGATTTATTTACATTTGCAAAAGCGATTTAGCAAAAGAGACCCGTTGTTTAACAACTATCATCGCGTAAACACATTCGGCCTTGGCGTAAATGTGCTACGGATGTACCCACTGCGATTTAGTACGTGATGCCGGTGCTAAAGTTACATTAATAACAATGGTATTTTACCGACTAAAGAAAAACTTACTACGTAAAAATACTTCGCTTCACGCTTACGAATTTCTTTAACTATCTTATTTAAGTACACTGCAGCAGATTGCAATAACGACGCAACGACTAGACTGAAATGCATTGGCGTGTTCAGGTCAGGACAGGGCAAACGTAGGTCACTCGATGACCAGGAGATCTAATGCGCATGTCTCTCCACAAAGCCAAAGCGAGCACTTTCGATTCTATACAACTCTAACCATATCGTTTCTAGCTATAAACTGTACACTATAAAAAGCTACCAACACCTACATATCCTTGAACAAACAGCCGTTTGAAACCAGAACGGAAGTACATAACAGTAGGCAAATGGGGAAATTCCACTCGTTAGCACATCAGTCTTAAACACCTACGTGAAGTTGACAGTATCCATACACATGTACGACTATTTGGACAGCATCGAATACAATATCCATAAGAAGAGTAAACAATACGTGAGGATCCAACGCAAGTCAGATGAGAGGGCCGAAGCAGGACATAAACTGTGTAAATATTGTGATTTGTCACGTGCAAACATTGGAGATATCTCGGCGGTTCAGCCTTTATCTGAGACTCCTGGTGGCACAAGAGAGGAGTGTGTTCAATGCGACAAACATTTGTCATGTAAATATTTACAGGAGGAACCCACACTAAAGCACTTTAGAGTTTCCTCAATCACGCAACACTGCAGTGAACGGTTGAAAACTGCTTGAAAGCTATACAAGGTTTCAGAACCCGATTTACCTCAACTTAAATTACCACAAGTTGTTTTAATCGGTCACGTTAAAGACGATAAACATACTTAAATCATCCCGTGACCACGCTCAGCACACAGAGCATTCGATTCGATGAAACGAACTTAGTAACACGACGGTGAAAAGAAGCCGAAGTAAAATCCCTGGTCGTCGTTTTAATGAATATATTTATACAGGGCAATACAACTCACGACGGAAAACGCATAATGACTTCCGCTGGACGAACGTCGAAAAACAACGAAAAAAAACCACCGAGGTATCCTAAACAACTTGATATTACTTAATTGGACGTTACTTAAATGATTACTCAACTACTAAGTTTAAGTGTTACATAAAAGTTCTCTTCTTATCCTAAGCAGTCAAAATATTGATCTTTCACGCAATAAAATAATGTACCGGCTAAGAACCATAAAGTATACCCTCCATGAATCTTCTAGAGAATTGCTTCTGTCACATAAATTCAAATAAATTATGGTAAAACGAAATTAGTAATTTATGTAGAATAAATGTAGCAGGTAGACTTTCTCATCTGTAATTCAAAGCTTCATTGTCCAAACAGCTATAAATTGTATATTTACATGCGTATATATACTACTGAAAATACCATACACGCTGCGCCTAAATTATTCTAGAACAAGTCGCATAAAATACCGAACGGTTTAAAACTTGAAATATATTATTAGCGACCACTTGTTTCGGATACTTTACAGCAGCGGCCAGTCACGCGAAACGTGAAACTGTAGTTAAGTATCGTAAGAATCATATATTTCGTGTTTTAAACCGGTAAACTCGTAAACGTTTGACAATACTTAAACTGAATATTTACAGAGGACAACTGGTGCATTTAAAGATCCGGCTGCAATTACCTTTACTTTGTTATCAAGTATAGGTTCGCTATGATCTATGCGGCGAATGATAAAGTCGCCTCTATATGTCGGCAAATATTTACTCTGCGCGTGAGCATGTTCTTATATGGACAACTGGATGTGGACTCTTTAATGGACAAGTCACCAAGCCGATTCTTATAACGTACATACGTATTCGCTTATTTGATTTGAAATTAAATAAATAATTACTGATGATGATTAAAGCAGTCAAGATGTTGACAAAAGGAAAACACTTTTTAAATTGGACCATAAATAAGAACATTAAGTTATATTTGGCTGTTTTATCAATAAAAACTGTTTTAAACGTCATAATAGTATATTTTGTCTAATTCTTATAATCCGATAAAATCAGATCTGTACAATGTTTGTAAGTAGAAATACTTCGGGCGGTCACACTCCAAGTCAATTCGTCATGGGAAGATGATGCCCACATTGAAATCAAAGCGATAGAGGAAACGTGTAATCACACATCAGAAAATCGTGGGAAGTTCCACATGACGAGCGAAGAACTCCAAAAGTTATAAATCATCGCGAATAAAAAAGCAGACGAAGCAGAAAACAATAATTCTATCAGATCGCGTTGATTATAGCAACCGGGTCGTTAACGTCATAATTCATAACTAAATCAAGTTATTATCCATGGAATAGCCGCCAGGCTCGCTTGCAACCTTGTAAGCAATTTGTTAGACAGACGACGTGTCTGTCCTTTTTTGTGATTGCTCTGTGACATTAGAGATCTCCAGAGGCAGGTAATGATGCCGACCGGTTACAAATTACGACATGATATGTAGAAGAAGGTAATACAAGACGTGCAGCTTAATTAAGTTTTAAATGCAATTACAACAGTGTTAAACATTAAATAAAACACTTAACGGCTGTAAATGCGAATATTTCTTAATAAATTTTACGACGACCACTGCAGTAAAGCTTCCGAAACATAGGCTGGTAGTTATAATTTAAATAACATATACATGTATAATCTTCTACGTTATAGTATGCTTAGTTTTTCCAATCTTAATAGTTATTATAACAAATTATTGAAGTAACCACAGAGGACTATACAATAAAAAACGTAGTCTTCAGAAGGAACCGATGAATTCAATAAGATTTTGCGCATACGTAAAGGTCGCAATAGATAGGTGTTAAATTAATTAATGTCCCTTATGAGTTATACCAGGAAGACAGTTTAAGAGGGTATCTCAAAGTGTCCCCCGATGTCACGAGAAAGGATGTGGAGGTGAGGCGGAGGGGGGGATACACGATATCCCTTTTACGCGGGCCAATTAACGGTCACCGACGGACCGGACGCTTGTACACATATGCATTAGCACCTCCACCCTATTTTAATCTTTTCATGTGAACGAAATCGGCTTGGGAAAATTTACAGCGCCCACGGCGAATTTGGGAATCGGCTTCTTACACGTTTGAGGTAATTTAAAGACACAAAACAACTGAAACTAAAGCAATAGTTACTAATTAACAAATGACTTTTAATGCTTCGGAGTTTCTGGATGAATTTTAATATCAAAAACCTCGCAGCTTTCCTACATATCAAATCAAATTCCTCTTATGCATGAACTATTCTAAGCCTGCAACGGCTGGTATATTGTCATGCTGAGGAATGCTAGTCCTTGGCTTTATTAGCCCATTCGTCAAGCACCTTAATGATACCACGTTCGTGCGCAATGCGCATTCAACTTGCGTATCAATCGTCTTCTCAAAGGACACGCTTATGCGGCCTTATCACTTATGGTGGGGCAGAATTGAATGGGCCGTTGCTTTTAGCTACCGAGTGCTGTGTACCAAGTGATTGATCGCTCAGCGCTTTGATTGATGACGTCTAAGATGTTTTGGTGTTCGCTTTTGTTCGGAGGACAGTATTGTATGGTTATGCAAGACTAAGTGCAGTTGAGAATGTATAATTGATCGGTTGGGGACATCACATCAATATGCAAGAGTTTGATTGCAGCAAGGCTAATGCAATTATCTCATCACATCTTACTAGCATATTAAAACCTGAGCAAGGCTGTAGTTTTGATAAAGTGTCTTTTTTTTAATTACACGTAGAAAAGGATATTTTGGCGGGCATGTTGGTGTAATGGTAGCAATGTGTTACTAATAATCAACGGGTCGTGGGTCGGAAACAGAACGCAATTAAGCGACATGGCTTTTTCATCTGTGGACGGTGGTTCGTGCCCCGAATAGAACTTATAATCGTACCATCCATTTAATATGCAGGTTTCACACAACTTGTTTCAGAAAAAAAAAATATTGAAAAATTTGAAACAGTGGCGATCGAACCCGCGACCCGTTGATTAGGTACCATTAGATAAACGTGCCTGTCGAATTATTGGATTACGTGTGTGTTAGTCGAATCCACTAATATCTTTTACACTTTTTAACTCCCATCAAAGTTTTATAGCTACAACAATTGTGTGTCACGCTATAAAAAGTTAAAGTTTATTTTTACTTCCTCAAAACCGGAAACGCAGCCCGTGCCAACAATTACGGCGCGGCATGGCGAACGTATGTCACATCCGTTTTCGCCCGAGTGCATTCCACCCCAGTTTTAAGGGCTGTTCCGTTCCGGAAGGGGCGAATTTTAATAAGTTTCGAGTCAACGGATTTCTTGTTCCGACGCTAACTTCCGCTACATTGTTACTGCAATGGTCAGGTACAGGTAGTACAGTGTTTAATATCCTAATCGGTTTTCGGTTTGTTTAAGTTATCTATGACCGGTTCCCACGGTTGTTACTTATTGTACAATAAATAGTGTGAATTCCCATTGTTGTCGAAACTGATAGGTGACATCTGCAGATAATATTCTTATGCCGATGGCACACACCTGGCGGGCGCTTTGATCGCTGTTTGTGAGAAGACGAGATTGTTTTAATTATGTCCTATAGGGAAGGTTAAAAGATAATGTTTATTTAAATAAAACACATTGAACGGTTTAAAATGCGCGAAATTTATTAGTTAAACTTATTAACAAATAATTTGAACTACGTATTGCGTTCGTATTTTACAAATATAATTCGCGTTTTAAACCGCGAAAACTACTGATGAAAATTTTCTAGACAGCGGCCTGATATTCATTAAATAATAATTGCTTAAAAACATCAGGAGCAACCAATTTATGAAGACCGGGTTGTTATTTAATGCTTCTTTCAAAATATAATCCGTAGGCAAGGTTATCTATAAAAATATTTTTTCAGTATTTAAGAATAATTGGCGAATGATCGTTACAAATTGTGAAATACTTTCCTTCCTTATTTTATTCAAATTAAGAACAAAAGCACCGTTCTACTAATTGCAGTAGCGATCAGCAATATTTTACAGTCTGTACATAAAACATGGACGCTGCAAGATCATTACCCCGATCGTATAAACTCCGAAGATTATTTAATTTATCGCTTCCTCTCAATGTTTTTCACCTGGCAACAATGCCTTCGAAGCATCCAGCTAATGCTTTTACGACGTGTCGAGGAGTAATTTGCCTTAACGACCGCACTTCGATGGAAAACGGCCCGAACGATCCTATTTATATTCCATTCAAATACTCAATCGGGAAAATTAAGATTTGGTATCATTATTTTACTGTAACCAGTCTTTATTGCGAGCTGAGCCTTATCAATTCTATGTTTGAGAAAAAGGTTACGACACAACAAGATCACTATGCAAATCGCCAGTAGATACTGTCAGCATAGTAGTCAATATCTTTATCGATAAATACTACCGACATCCCGATTTCGATCACAGATCTAGACACAACTCCTCTTCATCATTTAAGACACAAGAGGATGACCTTGCGAAGCGCCAGTAGGTTTTGTCTTGTAGTCAATATTTTTATCGATAAATACAACCGACAACCCTATTTTGAACATTTAATATTGCTAAATAATAATCACAATAAACATGTAACGCACATGTAATAATCATATTACGTACGTCATTACTTCTATAGCATGGTAAAATAACAATTTGTGCGAGGTTTCAAGGGCCAGTGAAACAAATTTAAAGACCAAACGCATAACGCAAAACCAAAATATATCTTCCTAATAAAAAACATCC